ATAAGAAATCTTTTCTAACCAAAGAACTCAGTAGTCTGTTTCCTATGGCATAAGCATGGGATTGATACTCTCACTAGAAACATTTTTTTCCAAAAGAGCGAACAATAAGATCTTCATTAGTGGAATTTATTTACAAAGGTGTTTAAAATGTCACTCTTCAGATAATGGATGGAATTGCTTAAAGGTTCTTAAATAGAGTGTTCTACCATTCCTAAGATAAATCTTTCCTAATACAATCTTAATTGATTATACTTCCCAAAACTCCTGCCCACCAACAGGAACAAATTTAGGAATTTCCCTAAACTACTTTACAAACTGGAACAGATATTGTACACCAGCCTTCCTAGGCTTTCAGTTATTCCTGCTTTTTTGGACTTCTAGAATGCTTCACACATTTCACAGACAATTTGTTGAAGTTTCCTCTGATCAGACATTAAATGGGACCCTAAAATATGTCATCTATATCTTGGTTTTCTCACAAAATTATCATTTGGTACATTGAATTTAAAAATATAGGCAATTCTGATAATTACAAATTTACTGAGTTTATTTTAAAAGCCCTTAAATATAGTGTTAGTTTTATGAGCAAACCAAGTCATACATAGTATAATTTTAGGAACATAAAGGTTGCTTTATACTCCTAATGCAGCCCTCCTTTCCCCATGTTTTGGACTAGAACACCCAGCATTCCTGATCATGCTGGCTATGCTGCCTGAAGCTAATGGGAGCTGACCTCCAAAATATCTGGAGGGCACCAGATTGGGAGAGGCTTTCTTGAAACCATAAAATGACTCTAGAATTCTAAGGAGTGCTAAAACCTCCAAATTATTGCTTGTTTTCCCCAAAATTCCATTTTTCTCTAAAGGGGTAAACTGGATGCTTTCCCCTTGCCCCATTTCTAGAAATTTTACATCTCCAGAATCAGATGTCAGATCAGATTTCAGAGCCTATATTTTCTACAGCATTTCTACTTTACATTGCTAATTTCTCTCCTCTTGGGCTACATCAGATTCCAGGTTTCCCAAGCCCAAGGCTTAAGTCTTTAGTTGCTTGATGTTATTTCTGTTTGCCTTTCCATGTGCCACTTGATAGGTTTCTACACTCCCCACCCGTCAAATCCATGTTCTGCAGCCATGATCAATTTATCTTGGCTGTTCTGTAGACTTAAGTCTACTTCCAGTTATCATTGCTTTGAAAATGTGTGTGGGGTTTTTGTCAACTGTTGGCAGTATTGCACTAAAGAAGAAATGGTGAATAGAAGAATATGTGTTTGGGAATACTGGATAGTAACTGTGGAAGACAAAGTCTGTGTGGGAAAGTAGAAGCTCTGCCCAGCCAGTTCTCTTAAAAGACTGACAAGTCACATCTTTCTTAATACATCATAGTTAAAATTTTATATAGCACCAAGAATGTGCAAATGCATGGTGAATCATCAGAAACCCTACCTGGATGTTATCCCCATGCATTACCAATTTTCATGTCACAATCCACCAGGGATTAATTAACCTATGGGACTCTGTGATGCATGCTGCTGTAATGTTTAATGTCCAAGCCCACCCATGAACTAGAATCCCAGTTGTCCAGTACTCCATGTAATAGGGGGACCTTGGGCATGTTTCATAGCTTCCTGTCTTAAGATATTCTTGATTGTGTGGGTGACCAGGGACAGCAAGCACAGGCCCAATCTCTTACTTGAGCAACAATATTCACATGAAGGAGTTAACACTGGTGTGGTGTAATGGTTAGAGTGTTGGACTGGAACTCAGGACTCTGAGGGTTTAGTCCCAGCTCAGCCATGCGGCTCCCTTAGTAACTGGGGGCTAGCATGCTCACAGTAAGGAACAAAATGGAGAGAAGGAAGATCATGTAAGCTGCCTTGGGTTCCTTGGAGGAAAACCGGCAGAATAACTTGATAAGTAGATGTTAGTTATGGTTGCTGCTTATAAGGCTTAATTCTCAAACATTTTATTTCAGGATTTTGATTTGTAAAAGTATATTTTCGCAAGTGTTAACATAAAGATGCTGATGGTTTCTTGTCTGAAAAAAGCAGATCATAATATCAATTAGTTGTACAAAGTCCCTTCTTGATCTTCTCATCCAGTTACAAATGAAATCCTCCTCTGTCAGGTTGCCTGCACATTCTGACTCACCACAAGTGACTAGGTGAATGGCTGTTTACAAGCCTTGGTTATGAACATATCAGTCTTGTTTTTGCCTTGTCCAGATGTTGCCAGACTGCAGATCAGGCAGGACTTAGCATAATTACATAGGGACGCACTTAGGTTTATATGAAGCATAGCAATAAACATCACAACAGTGAATAGAATAGTCCCCCCCTCCCCCCGAATGGAATAAAGTGGAATCCATCTTTAATACACTGTATTTGCCTGATTAGTGTCAAGAAACCCACCATGGGACTCTTTGTTTTTAAACATGTACATAATTTCTCCCCCTTCCTCAAAATTCCTTAAAATAATTCTTAGAATCAGCAACATCAAAGGAAATTGCTGCCCTTGGTGGTTCTCTCAGCCGCTGCCTGTGACTTTACAGTGTCTGTGCTAAATTAATTGGAGAAAACAGGACCAAAAAGCATTTCGTTAAGGTCAGCTAGTTGGGGTACTGCAAGTTCATGACAGACTTAATCACTGCTTTGCTGAAGAATGAACATGTTAGCTGAGATGGACAGTATAACCTTTCCTGAAGAAAATGGTCACTTTACAAAGCTATGTAATGTTAATGCTGCAGATTGCAAAGTGGTGATGAGGGCCTTTGCCAGGCAGAATATTTCTTTTCTGACATGTTCCTCAAATGCTTGGCCAACACCTGAGTTTAGGGTGTTTCTCTTGTTCTCTTACCATTTCACAGTTTGATATAAAACCTAGTGCTATGGTTAATTACTGAATTCTTGATTTGGCTCCACAATGGTTTGCTTTGCCCTGCTGAAAAACAAACTTACGGAAAAGCTTTGATCCATTGTCAGCTAATTGTGAAATTGCCTGATAAGCCTCTACTAAAGCTGTCTTGTAATAAGTACTTGGACACTCTGGATCAGCTGCCTAAAATTTGTTTTTAATTGTAGCAGAACAATTGCAATAAGGGTGAGCTAGCAAGTCCAGGAAAGACTTGAAATATTTTAATTATATTATTTCACTTAAAAGCATTCTTTCCCCACTCTTCATTTGAAAGGCCTCCCAGAACAGTTTTCATAAGATCAACAAAAGCAAGACAGTCCTTGCCTATAGACTTACAGGCTAAAAGGTATAAAACAAAAAGGGTGGAGGGAGGATGAGAAGGAAGGAGGAAAACAAATTACATTGTAACTCTTATAGCTTTAGATGTGGAAAAGAAATGACTCGGGGAACATAGGTACTAGGTAGAGCTCATCTCTTAGCAGAGTTGCTGGAATAGCCCTGCTTCTCATCTTATCCATTACTTCAGCCTGCCAGATAAGCATTTGCATTATCAGTCTGTAGTACAGCTAACGTCAATCCTGTATTTGTTATATAAATTAGGAAAATGTTAAATTATGATGATTAAAAAATGAGTAATGGAAACCCAAAAACTGTAAATAAAGGGGATGAAATAAAAACCCTAAGACACAGATTCTGACCTGGTTCATAAGAACCTGCCATAGGAAACATAGAAAAATAGAACATAGAAACAGAGTGAATCAGAAGGGGCCTCCCGGGCCATCTAGTCTGACCCCTGGCTCCTGCTGGCTCCACTCATGACATGCCTACAATGTGCATGTCCAACTGGCCTTAAACACCCTCACCGATGGGGCCTCAACGACCTCTCGTGGAAGCCCATTCCATACCCTAGGGGTTCAGACTGTCAGGAAGTACTTCTGGCATCCAAATGGAACCTTGGTTCCCTGAGCTTTGCTACATTGGAACGTGTCCTGCCCTCCTCTGCAAGGAAAAACAAGGGAAAACACCCACCTCCATGTGACACCCCCTCATGTACCTCTATGTCGCCAACAGATCCCCTTGGAGTCTCCCCTTCTGCAGGCTGAAATACCCAATCTCCACTCATACAGCTTTCCCTGCAATCCGACCACCATCCTTGTTGCCCTACACTGCACCAATTTCAACCTGGCTATATCCTTCCTGTAATGTGGAGCCCAGAACTGAACACAGCACTCCTGTTGCAGGTGCAGAGACATTTGAAGAGAAAAGGGAAGGGAAATGCATGGCTAACATATTGAAAGTGAAAGCCTGAAAAGTGCCACTGCACTAGTGCCACTGGGGCTTGCAAAAGGTCCCAGCTTCAGTCACCGGTATCTCCAGGGAGAACTGGAAAAGACTGGCCTGAAACCTGGAGAGGTATTGCTAGTCGTCATACACCAGTTTTCCTCAACCTGGTGCCCTTTAAATGTTTTTCTAAACTCCCAACATTCATGACTATTGGTCATGGTACCTGTGGCCGATGTGGTTGATGTCCAGAAATCCTCACCAGGTTTGGAAGGTGTCGACGGTGCTGAGCCAGATAGACAAAAGGCCTGACTTGGTATATAGACAGCTTCATATGTTTCTTTGTCAAATAACTTTGTGCAAAGTTTTCTGTAATTAATGTATGTAATAGAGAATATACAATCATGGCCCAGATTGGTTGAATTTGGGACTCCAAACTAGGGGTGGGAGCAGTGCCAAATGTTTAATAGTCCTTTTTAATTAAAAGTGTTGGTGATGGGAGAGAACTGTTAAAATATAGCACACAGTAGGTTCTTGTCATATATCAAAGAAAATATGGATAGGCTCCACACTAACCTAGTTGAGTTTAGCTCTCATTAACTGAAATAGGAACTAAGTTCACCCAACTTTGTTTGGATCTAACCCTAGATTTACAAATACAAATCTTTGCATTAATATATTTTTCTTTCTTTTTAACATCATGACAGCATGATCAGTCATGGTCATCATGACAGCAAGAGGGTAGAATGTATTTACCTAGAAATGCAAATAAATTCTGTATATCTGTGTTGTCCTTTTCTGTTCTAGGCCTTCTGCTTTATCAAGTAGTCCAACATATTCAGACTTGCCGTTCATCAGAATATCCCCACACAGGAACCCTGCTGCAGCATCAGAGTCTCCTTTTAGCCCACCTCATCCATACATTAACCCATACGTGGACTATATACGGTCACTACATAGCAGCCCTTCTCTGTCTATGATTTCTGCAGCCCGGGGACTGAGCCCTACAGATGGTGAGTGTCAGAATGGCGTCCTGTTTGCTGTCCTTTTGGCAACAGTTCCATAAATCTTGTTCAAGGCTCTCTTCTACTCCTTCCAGTCAGCTGCAGCAGATCTGTCACACATTTATTATGTCATAAATGTTTCAATACTTCATCAGCCTATAGCCGGTCATTTGTACATTTCACTAAAACATCAACGAAAGGTACCGTCTTATTCAAAATGGAAAAACTGAAGTATATTTATTGCTTCTAACACCTGCCATTGTGGACCGCACTGCTATGACTTTCATTCTATCCATATAAAAGATAAATTCCAGAAGTTAGCAAGTAAAGTGTTCTTCATGGCATGGTCTAAAAAATAAAGGGATAGGTGGTTTATCTTCACTCTACAGAACCTTAATAATTTGGAATTCCATGCTGTTTTTTTTAAGTTTGAGAATGCATAATGCTTGGCAAATTGAGATACTTGGGAAGATAATTTAACATCCCCTCTGAATTTAAATTTTGGAAGCTAGCAGGTAGTTCTTTCATATTAGAATTTAGAATGCATTAATAAATCTTATCCTGTTATTAATGCCATTTCTATGCAGCTTTTCTGAAGCTACTCAAGGTGGTTTACAAAAATAAATGATTCTGGAAAGCAACTTGCAACCAGTGAAGATCCTTCAGTATTGAGGTGATCTGCACCAATTTGTGCACCAGTTTGTGACAATATTGTGCAGCAACGAGCAGCCTAACTGCCACATTTTGCAACTATTGAAGTTTCCATGCATAGTTCTGTACTAGGTAGAGTACATTGCAAAATTCTAACTGTGATGTAACCCAGACATGGAGAACCAGTGTCAGATCAGACTGATTTAGGAATGGTCACATAATCAGTGTAGTTCTACGCTCTCCACCACCACTGTCACCTGAGCATCCAGAGACAGTGTAGGATTTAGGAATGTGCTTGAGCTACAAAACTAACTTTCAGGGGGATTGTGGCCCATCCAGAGCAGATGAGCTGGACTTCCAGTTGACTACCAGTACCACTATCTTGTCTGGATTTAATCTCAGTGTCATAAGCATGTCTCTTTCCTTTTCCCTCTCCTGCAGATTAAGGCAAAAGTAGCATCTGTTGAAGTAGTGATCGCTCTGGTACTGCAGTTTGCTTAACTTGGATGGTTAATGATTGGGAAACGTATTGAAATGTAAACCCAGGAAATCTTGAATATGCATCCTAAGCTGACTGAAACTTTAACTCACAGAAAGTTAAGGAAAGAAACATAAACAAAAATTTTAAAAAGTGCAAATCTGTTAAGATAAAAGATTAGTCAATATAAGAATGTATTGCACAGAAAAAAGAAAATTGACACTGACTTTAGTAGGAATTTCATTGGTGTAGGTAACAGCAAAAAAAGTCCATATTCTGGATCTCTTAACTGTTCAGAAGTAAAACTGTAATTTCAGTATTCAAAATGGTAATTGCTGCTAAATTGAGCTATAATGGGTCAAATTAGCTAGCTAGCGCGTATGCAAGACAATTAAAATACGATTTTAATTAAGAAAAAAGTCCTTCCCACCACACATGAAAATGGCAGATTTACAAAACAGACAATCTGCCTTTAGCTGAATTTGAAAAATGAGCTGTACTCACTGCCCAAATGGATAATACCATAACTAATTAATCCTCACATATAAGAACATATACCTTTACAGATAATCCATTACTTATGGGTTCTTGTTCTTATGAGAATAAATTTTAATGACCTGTTGTCAATCAGAGCTTATATTACACATGGAGGGCATTTGTAATAGTGATAAAGAAAGTTTAGTTGCTGCCTAAAGCATTTGTTAATGCCTTAAATCAATATATTTAGCAGTCCATAAACAATTTTATGGCAAGATCTTGGTAATTATTTAAAAATCCTTTTTGAGAACAATTATATTAATTATAGATTTTACATAGTCTCCAGGAACTTTCATAACTTTCAGCTTTGTATTTACATGCATTTGATATGATTTATAAAATTTGATTTGGTTGCATTATAGACCTGCTGCTCGTATGCCATTATTGTACATATTCACATAAATTTATGTGCTATGCAGCCATAAAACTATAGCTTTTCTGTGTACAGGGGGCAAAATCAATAGAAAGTCAATTGATTAAGTTAGCAGTAATAAAGTTCAACACATTGTACATTGGAATATTTTTGCTGTCTCCTAGACATTCATTTTTAGGATAACTCATTGCAAGCCAAGTCTCAAGATTTTCCCAGTAAGTAGAAGGTATAAATTTGATCTTTTTAAAAAAAAATTAGATTAATTTGCAGACTATGAGGTTTAAACCCAGAATTAATTGTTGGTCATAACTCTGGATGCAGAAGGTGTTACCAGATCCCTGTAATTGTTGCATATGTGGCAACTATTCACTGAACAACTAGCATAAGTGACATTTATTCAAAGAAAGGTATAATGGACTGTGGAACACCTTGCAGACTGCCAGTCTGCTAGCAAAACAAATTGTGCAATGGATCATGAAATGACGTGCACAAATGGAATTAAAGTGTTGGATTGGACACTTGCACAAGGATAAGGGCAGGATTTCTACAGAAGGGACTGGAATGCCAGCATTGTATGCAGCCCATTGAGATTACCATGAATTTGCAACTATGTTGCCAAGAGACTTGGAGGGCATGCTTACAAGCATCAATAAAGAGATGTCTTTTTTTAGGGGGGGTGCATTAAAGAGGAATTTTTTCATGAGTTTCTGTTTGTGTAAGGGAGCTTGAACAGGCTTCATGTCCATACACACCTCTCAAGAAGTCCCCCTTGAGACAGTATGATGCAAGCATAAAAAGCCAAAGTCCATGGCACTTGCACATCTGCATCTTCCAGGACCTGAAACTATATTTCTATTTCAAGGGGAAGTATTCTAAATGTTGCCCAGCACAATATAAGTAGTTCTGTCAAGTCATGGTTTACAAATCCTATGCCCAGTTTTAAGTTGCTTTCGTTTGTATAGATTTGCTCAACTGTGTGTCTTCTTCTGGACTGCCATATTTTAAACGAACCATGCTGAGAAGTGGTGATGGCCAAAAAATTACTTCTGTGGTGTGTGGTGAAAATACATCCAGTTGAAATATGTGAGCAGAGTAACACAAATGGGAGCCATGAATTATGCAGCTTGTTGAGTCTCCACCTCCAGAAGGGTGGGAGAGTCAGTATGGGAGTAGTTAGAGTAGCCTTCCTCAACCTGGGTCCTTAAGATATTTTGGACCACACCTCCCAGTATCCCTCAGCGTTTGCCATGTTTGAAAGCTCCACTCCAAAACATCTGGAAGTCACCAGGCTGGGGAGGGCTGGACAGCTGGAGTGTTGAAACATAAATGAGGACGGCTCAATTTGTAATTTGCACTCATCCATGAATTTGACTAGTGTAGTCTTTGGCTAATCACTTTCTCTTAGTCTAGCCTAATATCGGGGTTGTTGCAGGATAAAAGTTGAGCAGGATGGGGAGACAACCAATGCATGCCACCTTGAACTGCTTGGAGTGCAAATGGAATTGCCATTGTTATGTGTACATTTCAACATTGAAATCTTTCTACAAGAAAGAGAATTTGTATTTAGAAAAACACAGAGATTCAACAATTCTGTGTTGTAGTGGATTGCACAGTTTCTGCCCTGAGGAAACTTCCTCTGTTGAGGACCTGCTGCACCTCTGCTAAAGAATCTTATTGGTTGTTGTGGAGAGCTCTACTGAGTATTCTCCCTTCATGCACATCAGATGCCATTTAAGCCTATTTGACCTCATTCCGTCCTGCATAAATTGAGTGCAGCTTGAGTGCAGCTCTTTGCACCTGTTCCTCATCTCCCGGAGATAGTGAGCTGCAGGGAATGTTTGTCATCTGCCATTTCCTCAGACCATTCCTCTTCCTTCAGGGATGTTTATAGGCTATTACTGAAGAACTGAGGAATCCCAGGAATCATTGATTGTGTGCAGATTGTTGTTTGACTCTTCATGACCCACTGGTTTTGACACCAAGCAAAAGTGTTTGGGATGAGCACTCCTCTTTTGGCCTTCCTTGTTTCCCATCATATGCAAAGATCCTGGTGTGTATTAATCCAGAGATCCCTGTAATATTCGGACTAGGCTTACTGTCTGTTAACAAGCAATTAAAACAAAGCAGGATGGTTTACTTTCCTGATTTATTAATTGATAGTAAGCCAAAGTCCCCAATTTAGGCATAACAAAGAATTCAGATATTATACAAACCAAGATCTTTGCAGCAAAGTTGTCACTCCATGAAATGAAGAGGGAGAGAGTTAAGGTGTCAGAAACCATGGTCTGTAAAACCTTGAATGATTGTCCAAACTAGGCTAGTGTTTGAAACCCATTACAAAAACCAGCTATTATAGCAGTTCCACTATGTACACATCAAAGTAAAACTATCTTCTTACAGCACACACTCCTGCACTTCTGTTTGGCTCTATTCCTTTTGCTAGAAAGGAAAGTGAAGGCTTCCTCTCTTTTCAGAAGCTCAAGCAGCTTTCAGGGCAAAGAATGGTGGTAATGTAATTTATCTTTATACGCTCACTTCATGCCCTTGCAGGTTCTCCAGACTTGCCTTTCAGAGTTTTTGTTATTGTTAGTTAACCCAGACACTTATGTCAGAAAGCTCAGGAAGTGTTTTAAGTATGTCTGGAAAGATACCACAGTTGTCTAATACCTTAAAACTTTAACATCAATAATTTTCTGTAAGGATTTTTGCTTCAGTGTTTTTTTCTTACCATTTTATAGATGGTGAAGTGGTACATGGATAGTTTTATGCTGAAAATCAAATAACAATTTTAAGAGTACATTAAATATTCTTAGTTCACTTTTATCCCCAAGAAATATAAAATGTTTCTGTTTCCTAGTCAGTTCTGAAAACTGGATTTTGCAGTTAAATTTTTCATAAATGTCATAGCACGTAATCTGACGGGTAACAGGCTGGTATCCAATGGAGTGTCATGTTTAGGGTGGCATTGTGGAAGCATCCAGAATTTTCTTTGTGGCTTTTGCAGAACCAGTTAAAACTTGTAAAGAGAGAAACCTCAGCAAGACCCACTAAAGCTTACTTCTTTGGTCTTCTGGTCAACAATTGTTGTATTATCACCACCATAACATAGATAACAAACTGCAGCTCATTTATGACCATTTCTACTGATTTTCATCACTGGAAATCTTTACAATTCCTTTTAGTAAATCAAATTATGGTCTGGAACCAGAGCAAGTTAGTAGTATTTAGGCGCAATTGAAATCAATGGGCAATAATTTAGTCTTGACTGTTTCTATATTGATTTCAATGGGAGCTCACTTTCCAACCCAGTTTGGTTGTTACAAATATGGATAGTTGGTTCCACACATTATCCCTTCACAGAGTGCTCTGAAAGCAATCAACACATTGGCATCTCTCGCATGATATTTTAAAAATAGAATAGAAATGATAACTGTGGAATGAAAGAGGAGGAAGAAAAGCAATAAAACATTGCTTCCTGTTTATCGTAAGTCATTTAATTGTGCTGTTATGTGTCCTATTTTTAGCTCCACATGCTGGAGTGAGTCCTGCTGAATATTACCATCAGATGGCTCTCCTGGCAGGTCAACGCAGCCCATATGCAGACATCATTCCTTCAGCTGCCACAGGAGCTGGTGCCCTTCATATGGAGTATCTCCATGCTATGGATAGTAAGTTTTAGATGTTGTGATGCAAGAGGGTGATCCTGAATTTGCTGCGGGAAAAACCTTTCTGGAAAATGATATGCAGTGCATGCTGAGGCTTAAAGCTTTTCACTTGAATGCCAATTCATGTATTTAGTGTGAAGTACTATATCCCCACTTGGGAATACTACTGTAATTATTCCTCCTCCTCCTCCTCCTCCTCCTCATGATTATGATTATTATTTTGCAATAGTAGTATTTGAGTACAATACTAAGCATATTTCTTACCAAGGTAAGTCCAGTCTTCCTTTCCCAGAGGCATTTCTGCCACTGTTTTTATTTTGGCCTTGCATCTATGCACCATTAGTAATGCCACAGTAATGTATATGGCATTTTATGAAATTTCAGAAGGAAAAAGCTTCTTGCTGTTCTTGTTATTTTCATTCTAAATGTTTACATTGTGAAAGACAACAGAAATGGTGGGAGGGGTGGAGGTGTTTTATCTTGAAGAAGCCATCAGCTCACCCTCACACCTGGACATCTCCAGAATTGCCTTATCAGGTTGGCAAAAGGCTTTCCTCATTTTCTCATTTGAAAATATTCACTGCATGTAGAATTTTACCACCTCGTAAATGAATGAACAATTCTACCATGGATTAAGGACTAAAAAAAGCAATTTGGGAAGTGAGCCTTGAAGAGTTGGTTAAGAAAGGACATCTGGAAAAACAAATGGCTGTGTAAATCTATGATAAGTCATTTTAGTTGTTTTAAACTTCTGTTCAGATAGCAATTTTTCAATTTATTATTTGTTATATTCTTCTGTTTTGAAGAGAATCTTCAGATAAATCTTTTGTTGTAGTATTTAAAGAATTTTGATAGAAGTGTCACTATTTGCTTATTTTGTTGATCAGCATTACATTTAAATTTCTGTAAGGTCCGTTTTAAACATCACACAGTTGGTAACTCAAATATGTCATATAAAGTGGAAGACAAGGGTACATTTCAGACAATGTACCCATGTGTCTTTGAAATGTCAAAGAATCCTTTAGTTTCTAAATCATTGTCAGGCCTTAATTTTACATGTGAACACGCTTAATTTTAGCAAGGCACACCTGCATTGTGGGCTTTTAATATGCTTTAGGAGGCCTTAATATAAATGCTGAAATGCCTCAGATGCACTTTACATGTGAAATAATGGGTATAAAAGTCTGAACCAGGGTGAGGTATCTCATACACAGTGCGTCTCGGGTATCTTTACAATGCCACTAGAGACAGTATAGGTATCACAGAAACAGCCAACCAAGCCAAAGTAAGATCAGCAAGGTTGAGAGAAGGTTTCAGAACTCAAAGGTCACTAAGTTTTATTCAGTCCATTCAGGAAATCCAGCTGCAATTCTGTCTGTTTATGTTGTTGTTTGTTGTTGTTGTTAGTTGTGAAGTCATGTCCAACCCATCGCGACCCCATGGACAATATTCCTCCAGGCCTTCCTGTCCTGCACCACCCCCCGGAGTCCACTGAAGCTTACACCAGTTGCTTCAGTGACTCCATCTAGCCACCTCATTCTCTGCCGTCCCCTTCTTCTTTTGCCATCTATTGTTCCCAGCATTAGGCTCTTCTCCAGGGAGTCCTTCCTTCTCATTAGGTGGCCAAAGTATTTGAGTTTCATCTTCAGTATCTGGCCTTCTAAAGAGCAGTCAGGGTTGATCTCCTGTAGGACTGACCAGTTTGATCGCCTTGCAGTCCAAGGGACTCGCAGGAGTCTTCTCCAGCACCACAATTCAAAGGCCTCAATCCTTTGGTGCTCAGCCTTCCTTATGCTCCTACTTTCACAGCCATACATTGCAACTGGGAAAACCATAGCCTTGACTATACACACTTTTGTTGGCAGGGTGATGTCTCTGCTTTTTAGTATGCTGTCTAGATTTGCCATAGCTTTCCACCCCAGGAGCAAGTGTCTTTTAATTTCTTGGCTGCAGTCCCCATCTGTGGTGATCTTGGAACTCAGGAAAATAAAATCTGTCACTACCTCCATTTCTTCCCCATCTATTTGCCAGGAAGTGAGAGGACTGGATGCCATGATCTTAGTTTTCTTAATGTTGCGTTTCAGTCTGTTTATATTTAGATGCAATTGCTTTGTTGCCTAATAGCTGATGATGAATACCACTCTTAATCCTATTTTGAAAGAGCTGACTGTAGGCAAGTTCATACAATGATAAGCCAGTTATAATAGAAGGAGCTTGCCGAGCTTCACAGAGCATCACTTTTCTGGATTTGGGAGGTGAGGCATGAAATATATATATCCATATACATTGCAGATGATTGTGGATATGTCACTATTGTGAGAGAATTCGGGTCCTTCCACACTTTCCAGGGGTCTGCTACAAAAGCATGTGTGTGCCCTGAAGGAAAGGCAAGAAAGAAGAAACAGGCCAGGGAGCTTATCAGCACCTAATAATCATCTGCTTCTAGTGATTGTGTTCTTTACATTTGATAGGTTTTTAAAAGACGGCTTAATTTTTATCCAAATTGCTCTGTGGTTAGAAGGAATGGCACAGCAATGCCATAAATAAGGCAATGTGGAAATATGAAATAAAGTATTTGTCTTTTGAATATCCTGTAAATTTACTAGATTATTTTCAGCAAAAGGCTGCTGGACAACTAGTTTATTTTGGAGTTTGATTTCATCAGTTAAGCCCTGTCATGAGTTAGCAGCAGCACAGATTTGTTTTTATTTTTTAGATTTATATCCCTCCTTTTTCTTTCTTTTCATTGGGTGAATCCAGAGGGACAGCAGGAAAGACAACTGGTGTCCAAGAGGCATAGGGTACCTGTAAGCCCTTTTATGCAGCAGTGATGTAATTAGTGAAGGACTCTGTGCAGGCTCAGTATAAAAAAGTGCAATAGAAGAGGGGAACATTTTGAACCAAGATGGCAAAACCTTAATGTGGCACTGTTACTGCTGCAAGTTATGTTGCTCTAGCAGGTTACACATGCACAAAGTTGGATTTGCTTCCTGCAGGATGCTCATGTGAATACTCAGCACAATCGGGGCACTATAGCCCAAAAGTCTTAGAAAGCTAAGACTTTTGGGCTATAGTGTGGGGAGCCAAACCAAGAACACTGGTGGATTCCAACATCCCAGACCAGATTCTTCACACATCACCAACAGGGACTCTTCTTTGAACATTCACACAAAGCTCCCGCTTTAGTTGTTTCATTGATTCCAACTAGTCTAGTCAGTCTTTCTCTGCTATAACAGATGGGTTAAGATAATGTGTCTGCAAGACAATGGTAATGTACCAACATAAAGCTACTATGTTACAGAAGCACAAATACTTTAGTTTTTAAGAACTCTACAGATACACCCAGGGCACTAGGAAAGTGTAAAACAATCTGGATAATCGAGGTCAGTCCTTTGGCTTCTGTATCTCCATTATCTATGAGTGTACACTTTACAGTTCCTGTAATGATCATGCTAACCATAATGCTATCAAGCACTTTTTATTACTGGACTTGGAAATACATATATGCATTTATACATACATGTACCTGTACATGCATATTTGCCATACATACATTCATATAACTCAAGGTGATCAAGAAGAAATTAAAAAAAAAAAAAACCAAACCAGAGGTATCAAAGCAGTGGAAGTGCCACTTGTTCTGTCCCTTCTGCAGCAGAGTGGCTGGGCTGCTCCCTGAGGGCCTAGTGAAGGGAACTGGCAAGTCAGGGTAGTGCAGAGAACTTTGCTTCCTCCTCTCATTTTGCTGTACTGCATACATAGCCAGCCATTGATAGAAACCAGAGATAGAAGGGGCCCAGGTGGCACTCAGTCCAGGAAAAGCTGATAAAAGATGTTGCTCTCTCCCTGTCCTTTTGCCAGACTGAACAGAGACTTCAATTTGGGATGTTTCTTAAGTTGAGACAAGATCACACACATCTGAGCTTCATTACAGCAGCAACTATTCAATTAAGGACGATTTCCTGTATTTAAAACACAACACAACTGTGCATTGGTATTATGCAAATTGCTTGTTTTAAAACCCTAAATAGAGAATTTAAAGTAAGAGAGAATCGTGGGGAGGTCACATAGCTTCACCTTCTCCATTTGATGAGAATTTGTTTAGTCAGGCAGCACTGCTTTTATCTAAATAGAGGATGAAGCTAGCCTTTTACTTTGTAAAAACTAATTAAAACTATCTCAACTTGCATGGGTGTACAGTAAATTAATTGTCATTAAGTAGGAATCTGAATGTCCTACCCATTCATCATGCTGAAGAAACCTTTCTTCTTTGTCAGAATTTTAGATGAGAAAACAAAACACAACAAAAACAAAAAAACAATTAGCAGGAAGCCAAGATTAAGATGCTAAAAACAGAACAACAATGCTCATGCTTGCATTTCATAGCTAAGTACTGTAATCAGTGCTGTGCCGTGTTAAATAAGGTGATTTCTGACTCATTCAGGAAATAAGAAATGATATTTGATAGTTTTTCTTAATAGCCATTTTCAAATTACTATGAGAACCAAAACAGACATTATTTTACTACATCTACCTTTAATTTTTACTCTAGAGTAAGTGAAGTTTGGATGAAAACCCTACTGGAGGGGAAAGTGGGGCTTTAACCTGTTCACTTACAAGCCCTATTGTGCCTGAAATTTCTTTTGCAAATTGTGAACCACTGGATTTCTTTTATGGATTATAATGATCAATTGTGCAAAAGGAATTGCACATGTGAAATTACTGATTGGAATTGGACACCTAGTTGGGAAAAAGGCCACATGCACACATTAAAGTACCAATTTCCCTATTAGCCTATTCTAGAATTTAAAAAAGGCAATGCCTATAGTTGCATCTTTAGTGTCTTTTCTTGTCCTCAGAAAACCTGGACACCCTTTGCCCAAAAAGTCTTTAATTCATGGAAGCACTTCACAGGATTGTAAGCTTCTCCTGGCAGAGACATGATTTTTTTTGTTGATGCTGACAGAATCATGCAGTAATCTTTAATAATGTTCCAGATGCTTGCAACTCAGACTATTTGTTTGAGCCCATTTGCATAGTATGATCAAGAAAGAAAGAATTTGTCTGAGCCATTTTAACAGTATGGTCTAAGCCTAGGTGGGTAGGAAGATTGTAACTGTGTTCAGGGCTTTTCAGGAAAACATTCTTCACTCAGAATGCCCCTCCCCTCTGGAACACCAATAAGAAACAAGATACCATTAAAGAATACCTTGGATTTGCAATATCCACCAGCGACTCTTCCAGTTAGCTTTGACTGCCCGTGTTCTCCGTGGTCTCTTGAATAGCCTGAACTCTGTCTTCCAGGAACAGGTAGCAACCATGAGAGTCGCTACTGTAGCAGGAAGGTAGAAAAGGCACAATTTGATCTGGGGAAAAAAAGAGTAGCAACATTAGAGAAAGTGGATATGAAGAGAATTAAACATAAGGCAGAGTGAGAAGAATCGAACATCACACAAGTGGATTTCTGCTCATACAGTGAGAACCCTTCTTCTCTTCCCTCCTGCTGCTCTGCCCCCTGTGACCTCGGATCTATTCCAGAAGGTTCCTCAAACTTCCAGGGCACAGTGGGAGGGAAGATCCACTCCATCCGATATTTTCATTCCTTTGGCAGATGATCAGCAATGGTTATAGCACACTGAACAGAATTATTGGTTGGCACTAATCCAGTCAACCAACTATAGCTACTTTTGTGCTTTCTCACTCTTGCTAATGTGAATAGTGGTATGGGCCTAAGCTAAATAAGGAAAGGGAGACAAGGAGGCACAGGCCTGAGATATAAGGGAACATATAAGGCAGTGGTCTGAAGGGAGAGGGAAAGATAGATGTAGAGGCTGGTGAGAGGAAGCCGGAGGGAAAACCAGCTGACAAGGGGAGATACGACTCATCCCTGCACTCACCTACAGCACCTCTTTTATCCACTTTTCTAGACACTTTCCCATCATTTGGAGGGCATCTTGATAGGAACATAATGAGGGGCCTAAAATGGGTGCTTCTGGACTTTGCTTGTTCAGACTGTGTGGAACCAAGACAAGCTTCAAGGGGGGGGGGAATTACACCTCCTATGAAATATCTGTTGGACTACAATCTCGGTGTCCTTCCACTGCTCAGTAGAGTAGAAACAAATGTGATCCTGGGTCACTGAGATGGGCGGTAGGCTCCATCTTGGAGGGGAATAGTGCTGATCAGCATGCCCGATAATGCAGAATTAGAACCCATACCTTTCCTTACTTTGTTCTGTAATTAGAAAGAAACTGTTTAAGCATAGCTTCTGATTTTGTCACCTTTGCATGCATCATTTTTGGTGTCCTTCATTAAATAGCCTTGTCTTGTAAGCTTTGAACACTGTTTTTACTCTAAGACAATCAAAAGCCATCACTATTCTCAAGTATCAAAGCATTTCACTGAACGAAGCAGCAGACAGCCACACAGTAATGGGCGAACCCATAAAAGAGAGATGAAAAGGTCAAATTATAAGAAGCTTGAAGAAATAAAAATCTTTACATTAACTTTTAAATGCTGACTCGTCAACACAGTATCCGGAGTGAGATTGGAACAACATGGGTGCATGCTGGCTGCACAGATGTAAAAGAAGGGAGATGAGAACCACAAGCCAGATGCCAGAGATGACTCACACTCTTGTTCACAGTCTTATCTATGGGGTTATGGCCAAAGAGAGTTCCAAAATGAAGCGCAGATGGGCATGTGAGTAGAGATCAGATCATATAGGGATAGAAGCAATGAAGCAAGACTTCAACTACCAAATGGTGGACTTAGAGTAGATACACAGAAGGGGGAGATCAGGAAACCTGGTGCTTTATTCTTGTCCTGCCCTGTTTATACTTTCTTCTTTAGGACGATCTTGGTCCAGACATTGTTAAGGACAGCATACTGGAGCGGATGGATTATGTTTCATCTGACAGGACTGATTTATGTCGATGAGTAATAGTAATGAAGGGCGAATAACTGGACATTGAACATTAAGGTTTTGTTCATTTGGTTGAAAAGATCACTCAGATGATTGTTGGAACAGGTATGCTACTTTGAGCACATTAGCCCAACCTAAGCACAATCCTATGGATTTTGGGGTAGGTTAAATTTGCAGTTAAATCTTCTCCATTATATCCAAGTTAAAAGCAGTTAAAACCCTGAGCTTGTGAGAGAAATGTGAGATAGAAATGCCAGAAATATTTTCAGAGGACATTATTTCATCATACTTATCTTGGCTGCAGTATTTTCCATATAAAAATTATGAACAAAAGAAAAATATGATCTTGATTTCCATGTTGTGTGTGAGAAGCTCTTCTTGGCTCTTTTCATTAATGTGGTTGGGCTTTGGGTTTGCCAGTAGCTCTGATTTGAACTACTCCGTCTCCTTGCTTCTAGTGAATTAATGATGTGAATGTCTAAGCAGCCATCAGATTCATAAATCACTAGAAATGAGAGGGATAACACATAAAAGTCTTTTCCTTTTGTTTAGCCATTTATCATTTTGCTTGCACATTAATAAACAGAGCTCCCCTGAGGTAAGCAATGGAAAGATAAATTTTTCTTCCTAATTTTCCTCAATCGTAGCCAGTAGATCATAAGTGGAAAGAGTGGGCTTGTCAAAAGCATGTCGTACTGTTGTGGCGACTCTTTATATCCAATGCCAGTAGTAATGAATAAAGAAGACTGGGCACTTAGGGTAGTTAATTGTTTTTGTTTACATAACAGGCGCTAGGTTTCCAAGTCCAAGGCTGCCAACAAGACCAAGCCGAAAGCGAACGCTGTCCCTATCACCTCTATCTGATCATAGCTTTGACCTTCAGACCATGATCCGGACATCTCCAAACTCCTTGGTCACAATTCTCAACAATTCCCGCAGCAGTTCCTCAGCAAGTGGCTCCTACGGCCATTTATCTGCGAGTGCAATAAGGTAAGGAACTGGGCAAATAACAAGAATCTTCAGTGTTTATAAATCTTATAAGAGTCAAACACCAAATACACTGATTAACCACTAGTTATAACCTTTGGTTCAATGGACTGCACTTCCATTCAGGAAATGAAATTAGGATCCCTCTGTGAGCAAACTTGAAGTGTTTAGATGCTTATTTCTGGGATTCATTTAGTATAGCATACCCTTTCAGCCAAAATGAAAGTCCAGCAAGCAAAGGCATTGAATGGAATGCATTACATAAACTTTATGCAGCTTTGAGAAAATACAATTTAAGATGTAGTCCTATTCTGAGCAAGTTTCCTGATAAGAATGTAAAAGGATCCCTGCTTTTCTTTCTAAGCTAGCCTTCTGTTCCTCAAAGTAGCCAACCAAAACCTCTGGAAAAGATATAGATGCAGTACCTTCTCCCAGTCTTATTTCCCAGCAACTAGTACGGAATGGCACAGTGCCTCTATTCCTGAGGTAGCATATTGCCTTAATTTTATGCATGCTTCAGAAAAATGGCCTGCAACTCCAGGCATGCCAAACCAGCCATAGGAGCTGTAGGAGATTTTTCTGCCTAAGTATGCATGGAATTGTGCTCTGAAAGACATGTTGCCACTGATAGCTCTCCCAGCATTTAGCTTCATCAGTTGACTCCATGCTTTTGTACTTAGAGGACAGCAGCTTGGGGAAATAAAAGGGTACTGAGAAGCAACTGGACTTGGAAGGCGTGACCTGAAAAACACACCCAACCACCTATCATACTACTTTCCTGCTACTTCAGCCTCTTTCACTTTTCCCCAATTGTTAGAAGCATTGATCAACTCGTAAGGGTGCAATCCTATGCATGTCTAGACAGAAAATATATCCTACCAACTTCCAGAATGTCCCAGCAGGTCATGTTGGGAATATTGGAATTGCAGGAGATTTTCTGTCTAACCAAACAGAATTGGGCCCTAAAGAGGTGCAATCTTGTGCATGTTGCACAATGTCATCAGTTTACCATAGAACCGTTTCACAGATAAAATAAGCACAGGTGGAAAAATTAAAACAAATGATTATAAGTGCTATTTTAATCATTACTTTTTCTTTGAAAATTGTTCTGAAAATATTCCAAAAATGTTCAGCAAAATAGTTTGTGTCATACTAAAGTCTGATTTGAATGCTGTCCTAGAAATGTAGACCTGCATAATTTTGTTAAGGTAGATTCCATAACCGCCCTGATTAACTTTAAATAGGCACTGATTGCCATATTTAGATTACTGTTGCAAAATTGTGATCTTTTTGCATGACCTTTATAGGTATTGGATCAGTCATGTTTACTGTTTAATCTATACAAATATTTTCAAGATTATCCCATAGGACAGCAGTAGATGCATAGCAACTTTGACAGACAGAGGATTTAAATATCTTTATACTTACTGCTTGAGAAGTGAAGGGTCAATTTCCATACAGTTATGGCTCATGTGTATCTCAATGCAAAAGCTTCCATATTTCTTGTAAGGAGATTAATCTAGTGCAAGGGGGATACACAAATTCCCCCTTCATGCGCATGTGAACAAAGATTTTTCATGAGTCACAGATGTTCCATAGACTCTTTGGAGTGACATCCCATGTCACTCTGGGATTGAAGATGGATGTGGCATTTTTACAGTAATGGGGCCAGACTAGAACTACTCTCAGGTCCTTTTTTTCTTCTTTCAAATGTACCCTTCTGCTCTAGGATAATGCTCTAGATATACAATCTCTGCATGTTTGCAGCAGAGACCTGGATGTATACAGAACTGATTAGCTAGTGCTGTGATGTCACAGAGCTACCTTCTCTCTGGTTCTCTGAAGCAATTAATTGTTTCTGGGTTTTTTTTCTTTTTTTAAGCATTTGAATAACTGAGCATTTAAATGCTCATCCATATCCAAATTAGCATTTAAGTGACTATATAGGGCACTAAAACAAGAGCAAATAACCCAACTAGTAACTCAATGGAGGAGGAGATCTGATGGCTTAACTAGTGCTCAGTTCACTGGTATGCCTGTCTGTCTTTTTAATTATGAGCCTGGGAGGCAGCCAGGCTTACAGTGTGGCTAAAGGACCCACTGTGAGTCTTTTTTAAATGACATGCCTTCTTTTGTGGTGGTGTGGGGGGGAACGTAGGGGCCTGCATAGTCCTTTTCCTTCAAAAAACTTCAAACATGGCAGGAATTGGCAGCACTGTGTTCGGTGAAATATAACATCCTCTGAGGATTCTTTCAGGGTTTGAAAAGTGTAGAAGTTTTTCTTTTCCTTTGTCATCTGACCCTCTCTGTTCCTCATTTGCACAGGCTACCTGAGCAGAAACATGAAATTAACAAGGTCTTGTTAATTACAGACAGATTTCGATAATATTTGGTTACTTTCACCTTGGTGCTTGGCTGAGATTAAGCTAAACAAAGTTGGAAAGAGATTAAGCAGTTGGAGGCCCAAGAGGTTGAGACAAGTTTAAACAGCAGGGGGAAGAGCTGGAACAGCCAAGGCTGAAAGAATTGGATGTAGGCAAAGGAAAATCAGCTTGGTTTCCAAAAGTCAGCTTTGCTTCCATCTTGGCTTTTCCAGAGCCATTTTGCAAGAGGGAAATGGGCTACAATTGACTTTTGCCACTGAGAGTGACTCTACTTGGAGAAATTAACTGGTCATTCTTTTTGGAGCACCATCATGTAGAAGGGCAGTTTTCCTTGTGATTATGTTCTGCTGAGGTCATGGAATTCCAGTGTAATCAATGGGACTTACTTATCAGTATGGGCATATTCTGACCTATTTCCAGTTTACATACTGTGTGAACTAGGCATAACACTGATGGTAAACTGGGCCAGTTGGAATACATTGCATTGGTCTCTTTAGTGTTAGCTTTCCGGATCCAGATAGCAAAAGGGATGCTGTAACTTTTAGTCATGCATAGAAGAGAGCAGAGTTTTCTAGGTGTAGCTATCTCTATCAAAGTACTACATGGAAGAGAGAATCTGTGCTAGCAGCAGCATTTCTTCGGTGCATCCCTTAAAAGCAGAGGGTCTGGATTGACAATTCAACTGGAGATCTATCTTTTCAAAGGCTGTGCAATGAAGGGGGAAAATTTTACATTAAGAGAAGAATTCATCAAAATATTAGGGTAGGCTAGATACAAGGGGCAATATCCAGCAGGGCGGTTCTACCTCTGCTAGTTCTGTTGGTTTGGGTGCTTCTAAAAATAACCCTGGAGGTGACATGCTCATTTCTGAGTTGGGACAGAAGAACAAAGCTTACTTTGTGGTTTTGCTGACCTGCCTAGTTTCAGAAATGTGCATTTTTGCTTGGCTCCTGTCAGTTTTAGAAGTACCAAATCTCAGGTGCATAAATAGTAGGTTTCATGAGCACAGTAGGGTACAAGTCAGTATATTTCTCAGTCACTGCCTTAAATGAGTCATTTGTAATTCTGAGTTGTCTGTAAACACATCAGTATGTATGTACAACAACAGAAAAACATACATGCTACATAAGCACAAGAATACTATAATTACTAAAGCACTTCTTCCTGGTTCTTTTTTTCTGTTTAGCTTAGAATTTTGCAAAGCCAAAATAATCTATTTGCCCTTGCTGTCACTATTAGTAGTGAAAACTATTAGTAAAAAAAGTGATTTTTGAGGTCCCTCTCATATTTCAGTCAGATGCCTCAACATCAGACAAACTTCTGTAAGAATCCAAAAGGCTGACATTTAATGCTTATGAAAGGTTGGTTCTGAGTTAGCAAACAAACCACAAGTCAGAAATGCTCCTGAGTCTTGGTGGCAAAAGAACTAAGTAATTTAGTTTTGTATGATTTGTTTCTTATTCTACAAAAGACTCTCCATCAATGAAAATGCAAAATTCAACACAAAAATTGAAAGAGATCTGTCTCAGTCTACATATTTAATTATATTTTAGGTTAGAAATAAAAAAGATATAAAATAAACAGAAGGGCTGGCTTACATTACTGTAGTCATTTTAAAAACTTAAAGAGCACAAAAAAAGAAACAGATGTCTCTTGGCGTCAGCTCCCTTTCTTTCTACAAAGCTTTAAATTATGCTTTAAATTATTGTTGTGGGTTGTTTTTCTTCATTTGAAGATTTCAGATTCCACAGATATTCAAAGCTATATTTCATGGGCTGAATTCTGTCTCTAGTTTAGCCTGTGTATACTTCGTGTTTCATGTTCATAACTTTGTTGGTGCATGTATTTGTAAAAGGAAGAAACTCCTCACTTAACATTTGCTCATTATTCTCCAGTAGTGTCTCTTGTTTTTAAATCAGCAACATAGGGGTATGTTGCTGCAGGTCAGAAATGCAGTATTTGAACTTACTTGCCATGCTGTCAAGTAAGAGTTTGCCAAAATGAGAAGAAAGCAAATGTTACCTTGGAAATATTTGCTAATGTAAACCCCTGTGTGGATTCTCATACTGATACAAGGGAACGATCCAAAATAAATCCAGTCCAAAATATGTAGTACCACTCATAAACCCCTAAAATTATTTTTGAATCCAAGTACTTTGCTTTAAGAGGTGTCTTCGATTCAAACCATTAGGCGTTAGGAAAATGTAACCATTTAAAGATCATTTTCTATTAGTGTTCTGTTACACTTGCTGAGATCTCACCTTCTGTTTTCAGTTTCTTTTGAACACCCTTCCCCACTCCTGGGGGCTAAGGGTCTTCCTATGTGGCACTCCACAAGGCAGGGTGGACAACTTTGGAGGGTCTGGAGGCCAGTCCAGACTTCTGGGAAAGGGTATGCATTTGTTCGTAATTAAAACTATTCCTGTATCACTTTTCTGCCATAAAGTTTAGGCAGAAAATTTTGTAGGAAATTTTATTAGCTCATCAAATATTATTTTAAAAAGGAAGATATTAGACAGACTAAAATTGCACAGCAGCAACAGTGGAATGTGTCAGCAGGCAATTACTATATATTATTACAATACTTTTATGCCACTGAATAACTGAAAATATATAAAC